AATAGCAAATTTAGAACCCAAAGAATATCAATATATCATGTTTGAATAAATCTATAGCTATGAAATCAAAAAGCATATTCTCTATTCTATTTTATTCACATTTGAACATGTTGTGTTACTGACCTTTGAAGACGAGGAAACAGACCGACAGCATTTCATTTCATTCTTTTGATAGCAGCTGCCATACACTCTTGCCAAACTTACAACATGTGAAAAAATATTTGTGATCGTGTTACACCGATCCGATAACAATTAATTGTGACAAATTGTAACGAATTATCAAAATCTCTACTCTAACAAAAGTCTTATAAAAATGAATCAGTGTGATTGACAGTGACTAAAGTGTGACATGAGTGTGACTGTGTGACCCGAAATAACTTATGTTACGATTGCATATATATAGTTATACGCAATATGAAGCATTTACCCTTTAGATGTGACAGTACCGTGACTAAAGATCGTGAATGTGACAACCTGTGACGTAGGATCGTCAATGTGACAACCTGTGACGAAGGACCGTCAATGTGACATACTGTGACGTAGGATCGTCAATGTGACAACCTGTGACGAAGGACCGTCAATGTGACAACTTGTGACGAAGGATCGTCAAAGTGACAACCTGTGTCGAAGGATCGTCAATGTGACAACCTGTGACGAAGGATCGTTAATGTGACAACTTGTGACGAAAAATCGTCAATGTGACAACTTGTGACGTAGGATCGTCAATATGAACAACCTGTGACGAAGGATCGGTAATGTGACTACCTTTGACGTAGGATCGTCAATGTGACAACCTGTGACGAAATATCGTCAATGTGACAACTTGTGACGAAGGATCCTCAATGTGACAACCTGTGACGAAGGACCGTCAATGTGACAACTTGTGACGAAGAGTCGTCAATGTGACAACTTGTGACGAAAGACCGTCAATGTGACAACCTGTGACGAAGAACCGTCAATGTGACAACCTGTGACGAAGAACCGTCAATGTGACAACCTATGACGAAGGATCGTCAATGTGACAACCTGTGACGAAGAGTCGTCAATGTGACAACCTGTGGCGAAGGATCGTCAATGTGACAACCTGTGAGGAAGGATCGTCAATGTGACAAACTGTGACGAAGAACCGTCAATGTGACAACTTGTGACGAAAGACCGTCAATGTGACAACCTGTGAGGAAGGACCGTCAATGTGACAACCTGTGACGAAGGATCGTCAATGTGACAACCTATGACGAAGGATCGTCAATGTGAACAACCTGTGACGAAGGACCGCCAATGTGACAACCTGTGACGAAAGATCCGAAACTCTTTTGGTATGTGACATTACTTTCAACTGTAGTCATCAACATGTCAGAGATTGAGTGTTTATTGTCATTTCAACCTAATACCAGAAATATTAAATCGACAGCTTGACTTTATTGTTCATTTCACATAAAAGAGCAATTCAAAATTTTAGAAAAATACACAAGATCAAAGCATCAAATTGAATTTTACAAAAAAAAAAAAAAAAAAAGTATTGCTAATCAGTCAACATTATAACAGTCATATAACGTAAAGGGACAAAACAGATTCAATATTGCCTTAAGTTACTAAATACAAACCAAACCAAACTATCTGAAAACATAACGATTTTTTCAACAATTTGAATCACACCTTCTCAACATAATGGATATTCTTCAATACCATCATTCCATTTCTAATACTTGTAATGCAACAATATCTGTCTTTATATGACAATAATATCGACCAGTTTGATTTTCAACCGAACGATTAATTTCAGTGCATATAGGTCATTTTGATTCTACCAGACTATATTACATTGGATGTTTATTGTGAGAAACTGTACTTCCCGACCCCTTGTCCCTGTTGGCTTAATTAAATATCAGATTAAAAAAAAACACTACATATCCATACTTTTGACTGATGGACAATGAAAACAGACAAACATTTTTTTTTATTATTCTAGTTTTTAGTATTCTTACAAAGACGAGAAGACAAATGTAGAATTTCCGGGATTTACGTCCGGAATTACGGCCCTATTTAACACCCGTGTGGTCTTACCGTACCCCTAACCCTCCCCCCCCCCCCCCCAAAAAAAAAAATAAATAAATAAATAAATAGAAAAAAAAATTTCATCTGAAAATTCCATCTATCATCTCTGATCAGCCCTTGAGGAGTCGGAGCCTGGAATGAGGCAAAAACAAACATGTGTGATTTTAATAACACAGTAAACGCAAGACCCCTTGACTTAATATTTGCATTGATCAGTCATCAAGCATTCGATATTTACTTTTGAAGACAGCAAAAAGAATTCATTTTGTTGTAATGTGAGTCCTTTGTTTTTAGATCGGGTCACAATACTCTTTAACATGCACATCAAAGCGTTTACTAATAAGCCAACACAAACAAGCACGAGGGCACATGTCCTTGCGCGAATGTCACGACCAGTCAGTCAGCTATGGTATTTGTATTGTAAACGAAAAATAAACAGATTGATAAACTAATTAATTAATAACTGCGACTACATGGTATTGACATAAATTTTCAGGAACTGAAAAGATACACGGCCTAGAAAATCACAATTACAGCATAATAATAGGTCTGCAGACGTTTTTTCTTATGACCAAACTTTCAAAATGGTTATTAAAAATTATTGCGGGCACGTATTCCATAGTATTAGTTATTTTTTAAAAAAATGCCCAACTGCAAATGCGGTCGCTTTGCAGAGATGGAACTTTGATCGCAGCACGGGAAGAGATCCGCTGATTTTGTACATGTTCAAACCAATAATGAAATGAAAACATTAAACATACAGAAATTTAAACGCATGTTGCCAAAACCTTGTTGGAAAATAATGTAAAAATTTTTTTTTTAAATACCAGCATATCTGAAGGTGATGAAAGGTCTCGATTAGGCTTGGAACGTACAGTATTAAATATATTACATATTCATCATATTTGTTTGAATTTAATTATGTTTGAATATTTATGAAATTTCTTTTTAAAATTTAATAAATATAATGTACAGAGAGTATATATCTTTATATCAAAGTGCATCTTCTTGATGAAATTTCTCTCATTTTTGGCAGTGTATATGGCATAGTAATTTACTTCGCGCAGTAAATGAAATAAACATTTTGATTCAATTATTTGGGATTGAGAAAACACAGTAATTAAATCGTTCTGGAATTAATAACGTGGAACAAATTTAATCAGAGAGCTCTACGTCTTGTATTGATATTCCGCAAACGTATTTTCAATCACAATACAGAGCATCGCGACAGCAGAACCTTATGAACTTCGTAACTTGGGAACATTTGAACTTAATCTGACGTCTCGTTAACCAAGCGCCATGGCCAGAAACCGTTATGAAGCAACGAAGTATAGAAAATAAAAAGGTCAATGATTGTTTGTGTGTAACACAAGCGTTTCAGTCACAATAGACTTGTGTCATATAACGACATCAATTAATCTTTAGTATAAACAAACATTTACGCCACACTTGGAATACACCGTAAACACGTTTTAATTGACTGACACAGTGAACTTTGACCGAAAGGAACTTCATGAAATGTTGGGTAAATTAATTCACATTTATTATAGTAATTTCCTTAATTCTTATATGAATTAATATCTTTTCTTTACTTCACTTTTGCGAAATCTAACGTCTTCACTAGACTTTGTCTATTTGGTTTTTGAAAACAATATCTGTATTCGATTTTGGTCGATATGATTGCGAAAGCATTCTCAGTTCTAGATTTGTTGTCGATTTGGTTTCGAAAAACAATTTCTGTACCAGATTTGGATTTTGGCTTTCAAAACAATCTCTGTTTTAGACTTAAGTCGATTTGATATCAAAGCCTTCTCTGTATTAGTGTGTTTTTTAAGCCGATATGATTCCGTCGGCGAATGATATTTTGGTCGATTTAGTTTCGAAACCAATCTCTGACCTATATGTTTGTCGATTTTCTTTCGAAAATAATCTCGGTTCTATACAAATCGAAAGTAAAATGAAAACTTCCCATACAATCCCCATTTCCGATAATTTCGGGATAATAACAGCCAAGTGCAGATAACTCTGCATTCCGGAATTGAAAAGAAGCCGTTGGTAAAATATATAAAAAGAGATCTTTTCATCTTTACCAAGAAAACTATAACCTCTTTGCTTCAAAAGTTTCGAAACTATCAACCATCGAAATTCAGAACATCTACCGTAATTTGTGCAGGGCTGCCTAATCCGAATATAGACGGCTCAAAAATTGTCACTGATATCATGCCGAGATGTAAATATTTTACAAGAGCAACTAATTAGAACTCATACAAATGCATCGGTATGACAGATAGCGGTTCTCGCTTCCGACTCGTAAAATCCCAGGCAGGTTTAGTAGGAGTCTATCATTGTGTTTATTGGTGTACAAGTATTCAAACAAATGTTCACACGGAGGCTTTTATTTTACTACGTTAGCCCTCTTAAACAATAAACAACGTTGGTCGAAATGATACAAGGGATAACCATTGCGTAGTATTTTCCTTTAAAAATGCGTCACTGAAATTGAAACTTCCACCATTTCGCTATTTGCATCATGAATAACAGCTGCTTCACCAAGCGCAATCTACAATGAGTCACTGCTGATTTTTTAAGACCTCAATTTATTATCACTGTTTTTGATTGATGAAAATCAAACTTTCCCTCGATTCAAACTAAAGCTTTCATTTTTTCAGGATTAATAAAAAATATGTTTTTATTGACATCGATTTCCCGCCATAAATCAATTTCTTGGTATACTAATTGAGATTAATTGTTTATTCACTTAAGTAGATTAGTTTTAGACAAACACGTTCAGTACATTGTACACAACTTGCATATGTATTTCGATCGGTGGATTTTCAATTAGATGTTTTGGAGGAGACACATTTGAAATACAGATCGTGAATGACGTATCGGCCGATGTGAAAGTATAAAATGCTGTATATCAGAAAATTACTGATGCATAATCGTCAGGACGTATACCCTCTGAGTTGGAACCTTATAAAATCGGACAATTCCTGAAGTGCTTTCACTCCAGCTTCCAGTTGGAAAGGCCCTTCGGTTGAGAACAACAAGAAGCCATGAAATGTTGATGGGTAATACTTGAGTTTTACCTTGACGTCTGACTCCCAGAGACGTGTAGCATACATGATTCCTTCGTCACGTATTACGTCATATTGTGATGATATGACGTAGGCACTGGGAATGCCATTCAGATTCGTTTGCATCATTGGTGCCAATGTCGTGTTGGTCACTATACCCTGAAATGTTTGCACTGATTCGAAATCATAGGTATAAGCTGTTGATGTTTGTCTATTTGTGATGTTTAAAGAATGCGGCATATATTGTGAACTATTGACATAACTTGAAAATTTAGAATATCGTAGTTCTGGTGACACGTGTGAGTTTTTCATGAGATTTGACGTGTATGACAGTGATATTTTCGTATACAACAGCCATTGGTGGATCTGTCGTTTCGGTGACGTAATGCCGCCTATGACGTCATGATTATCAACATAAGATGGAATATGAAGATCCAGTATTTGAAGTGCTGGATTAATCAGAACCTGCATGAATATTTTCTTTCTAAATTCTTGCGCAACTGCGGCTGCCAAATTTCCGCCAGAACCGTCGCCTCCAACCATCACGTGGTACTTATCTACCGGAAGTCCACTTTTACCCAGGAGGATCTGGTACATGACAATTTCACAGTCTCTATAGGGAGCCGGGAAATGATGCAAGGGTGCCTTCCGGTATCTGAAATATCATATTTACAGAAGCAATTGAATTGGTGATAAAATAGAATGCATTTAGTATGGAAATATGGAAGATGATGAAATATGGCGTTTTGAAAATCGACTATGCTTTTAAAGCTGAATGCCAATTCGAATTCTCAAGTACTATATTATCAAGCCATTTTCAACGAACATGCACCTGTCATAGGGAAATAGAATGCCTGATTGGCCTTAATGCAATAAATAAAATGTAACTGATCTGGCATCAGAGTTGGCGCAACCAACCAAAACCACAAGAAAAAATATACTTCCAAAAAGCATCATAGATATATTAAATCGGCTATTTGAATTTTTTTCTTTCATTTTTAATTAATAGGAAATAAGGTTTTTTTTATTTTTATAATATACATCGTTCAAAAGTGTTTTTTTCAGGACAGGTTGTATCTTCCGGTTGTAACAACGCCGCGAGTTTATGATTTTATCAAGCCAAGAATAAGAAGTTATGAAGGATATTTCGTTTTGAAGTTCCAAATTGATAGATGAAATTTAGCTTAGTCAATAGACTTGAACAAGATAACGAGAATACTGACATGAAAGCTCAAGGGTCAGTGTTTTTAAAGGTTTTAATTTTGCGACATGAAGTATCGATATGGCTGAAGTAGTCACGGTCATGGTTTCAAGTGTGGCAGAACAACAGAAAAACATTAATTATGCGAACAAATTCATATTTAAACGAAAATTCCTATAAATCTAGAGTAGACCAAGACGAAAGAAAGATTTTCAACGAGACTCTGAAAAATAAAAGGAAAGCAGGCTACATGAAATCCAGCGGCACAGCAAATCCCATTTTGCATGAAATCTGGTACCGTGTAAATGTACATGGGAACATTATTAAGTCTTGGGTGCATGTTTACATGATGATACTTTCTGGAAGGTCGGTATTTTAAACAGATCGCGTGTTTCTTCAAGTCTTCAATAGAAATAAACAGCAGTGAACACCAAAGCGTATTTTCACCCAGGACAAATGGAACCAGGTCCGACTTCTTTCATCGGGGAAATGAAGTGATTGGATATAACAATCTTCATCATGGCAAAACGAAACGGGGCATGAACAATATATATCAAATATGTTCTAGTACAATGTACAAGGAAACATGCTACAGTGGCCTATTTCTAGACAAATGTTACACACTGTACATGTAAACCTGACACATGTAATGAGTTAAGCATTCGTGATATATCCGCACTATTTAGTCTAGAAGGTGACTGGATGTTGAAGTGGGAGGTACGTCGGGAACATGAAATTCTGTCATAGGAGGACAGCTGAAATTATTTGCAGATTTATGAACCGACTTTTGGGGTATTAATGAAGAAAATGACAAAATTTAGACGAGAAGTTTTTAAAACCATAGAAACCTTTACATTGAAATTATCAAACACCATCCTTCACATGGACGTGGAAACGTAACATGTTTAGATTTAAACAATGCATCACAAATGCTACCAAAAATCCCCTCGTGGGGCCCTCTTAAATTAAGAACAATGAACAAGATGGTCAGCTTGGTGAAGTTTGATTAAAACTCTCTAGGATTTAATCCATAACAGGGCTGATAAGGATTTGGTTAAAATTATAACATAACGGTGACCTTGACACACACTACAGCTATATAAGTCCAACTCGTCTGATAGGGTTTCTATGTGAGTGTGAAGTTTGATTGAATTCGAACTAGAAATGACGTCACTTGAGTGTTGGCAAAACTTTCTTAACACTCCAACCTTAATACCGACACTTTTTTTATATGAATGTAATGTTTGATCAAAATCTCTCAAGGAATAAAATCGTTAGTGTGCTGGCAACAATTTTCTAAATATAGTAACAATGACCTTGACATGAAGTTCTAACTTGTGGGAGTGGACCTTTATGACAGTGTGATGTTTCAACGAAAGTCGCTCAAGATATTAAGCCGGTAGAAAACTGACAAGGATTTACTAATAGATGATAACAGTAACCTTCACTGAACAACCCTCAAACTTATCTTAGATACTTTTGTCATGCGCGATATAAGTGTTAGAAAATTCATTTAAATCCCCCCAGAAATGAATCCGTTACAACGTTGACAAGGTTTTTGTTAAATTAGGTACAATGACTTTTACCCTATTACCCTACAACTCAAACTTATCACAGATATCATAGTCATTCATAAGTTTGTGAATTCTGATCGAAATCCTCCAGGAGATTAAGTCGTTAAAGCGCTGCCATGCTGACCTTGACAATACAACCTTGAGACTACTTGCAACGGATATATAGTATGAAAATTTGATGAAAATCCCTATGACCTTGACCTTGACCTCGGCACCAAATCCCCGAAGTTCTAAGTCGCCCATGATAATAAACGTTCTTTTATCAGTGTTTCAGCGAAATCCCAAAAGGGATGACGCTCCTTGATTGCTGAGTTCTTAAAATAGAAATGATGACCTTAATGATACGGTCACACTGAAACACTCCTATACCCTATTAGACATTTGTCTCGAGGGAGTGATAAGTGCATTCAAGATGATTTTGTAACTCGCTATCCATTGGTTCTTGAATACAATGATAACACTTCAGAGAAGATAACTCGGTCGTTCCGTTACTTGATCCATACAGGTGGGTTTGATACTGTAAATAACTTAAGTTCTCAAATACCAGTTAACCTCCGACTGGCCTTCACTAACTGTTTTAGACAACAGATGCTCACGATATTTCCTCTTTTAGCTTTCTTTCTGTACAAATAATTAATATCGATTTAGACTATTCTGGATCGTCTTACAGTGTAGCAAAATCTCCTCGTCACCAATAAAAAAAATATACGTGAAGGGCTTCTTTTATAGACCAACGGATGCGCAAGACACAGATGCGACAGATATACATTACCTTGACTAATGAGAACATTTCATGAGAAAATAGAAATATTTTTCTTCTTTTTAAAAGACGTTGTTGTCCGTTCTGTATGTGACAGGGAGTTCAGAAGGGAGAAATTATTCAGGAATGGTCTGTGACGGACTGAAATATTCTTGTCCTTACTTACTCTGGTGCGATGATGAGAGTTCCAGTCTTGTTTGCTAGTTGTGCTAGGAATGCTGAATAACTATCTGAAACGAAAGCAATTTAAATGAAGTTAACTCAATGTTTATCTTGACCTGTTTGCTTCGTAACTCACACTAGCGTTTCCGAGACGCCTCTTCGAGAGCGATCTTTCAACGAGAAATCCGACATAAGGGAAATCACTCTTACATCGTGCTTGGGGAAAAAAAAATGTAACTATGCAAATTACTTACTGACAGTGAGCCAGGTCCAGCCCCCTCCGTGTATATACATCAATGTAGGATAGTTGGCCTTACGAGCTGGACGTTTGGGCTTAAACACACGCACGTGCACATCCTGTATTGTCTGGTCAATAATCTTTAATCATGATTTGAGATCAGTATTACAAACAATCAGCATCAACCGTTAACAATATTGCAGACAAAAACATAGAGTTTTATCACAAACTGTCCTTTTATACCGCTGTCAAAATTTTTACGGGAGGTACATTTATTAGGATACTACGTTGTCCGTCCATATGCCCGTTCTTCCGTCGTAAACTTTTATTTTAACAGAGACCTTCTCCCCATGTTTTTAACCGATCAAACATGGTAGACTCGGTTACTGACTCTTGTGTTAATCTTGTCCGCAAATTTCTTCTCTCAGTTTTCAACCGATTTCTTTCAAACTTCGCAGGCTAAATCACCATGACATGAAGCTGTGTTTTCAAAAACGGCAATAGGCTTAACACCTACAGCATGAGATTGTATTCTCGTCATCTGAATTTTGATTAAATGTTATTTCTAAAGGATTTTGCATTTTGTTATTTATCATTAAAATAAATTACACTGTTTTCCAACTTGAGGTTTTACCGTCATTTTCACCATTTTCATATTTGTATTCTTTGCGATACGATAAATATTTTTTTGGCATGAGACGGCCGTATACATGTATTGTCATTAACAAATTTGGTTTCCCTTGGCCATGAAAGGTTTCTACAAAACTTAATTAAAATTTGTTCTGTGTTTTCTGTAAAATCGAAAATGCCATTTGCATGTTTACGGACGTAAGACGGACAAAACGCGATTGCAATCGGTCAGTTGAGATTTCGTCTGAGATGACCGAAAAAAGTTTGGAAAATATGGAATTAATTCACAGACAAGACAGATCAACCTTAAACTGATCTTATTTCTGACAGTTATAGAGACATCCAGTTGAAATAGTTACATTTAAATGCTACTTGCATTCCTACATTTATCGCATTGAGCTAAGCGCGTGTTTTAGATACCGTTTTTTTTCCGTATGAGTAAAATATTCCTGATGTGTTCAATGACTGCTTCCGGAAAGCTTCGTTCCACGTAAAACTGACATGGAAACAAATTGCCTTTCTGGACATATGAGCCACACACACACAACTGGTGAAATTGAATATGGTCAACAATACAAACTCACTCTAATTAACCGAGCAGCATTTTACCAGAGACATCAGGTTATTTTTCTGCACAAGACAGCGTATACATGTAAATGATGGAAAAGTCTTCCTGAACAAGTGATCCAGACTAGAACAACATACCAGTTCAAAACCCGGCTAGACAAACTTTAGGGAAAAACACACTCAGGTTTGACTTAATTGCTAGCTATCGAACAGACTCTTGAAGGATAAGGAAAAATTGTTACCAATCCTTTACCGATAATTCTAAGCTTGCTTTACAGGACCGGGTAGATCCTAAAAGCAGAAATAACATAAGGTAACGTAATGATACCTGTACGTCATCGTTGTGTGACGTCATACTTCCCACCATGCAGCTAAACACGGAATCAACTAACCATTTCACTGGAGGACCTATCGGAAGTCCGGCGGATAGGAGAATATCCAACTGAGTAAGAGAAATAAGACATAACGGAAATTTACAATTTATGCAAAATGGTTGTGCTTTTGTTGACTAATATTCTATAACGATACAAACTAAAAACGAAAAGGAAAGGAAGAAAAACAAACAAAAACAGAAAAAAACAAGGACAAAGAAAAAAAATTAAAATTAATAATAAACCAACATCATTGTATTCTAGAGAAAGTGTCATTTTTCATTTTTAATAAAAATCTGAAATCTGTACAATGAATAAACAGCATTTACTTATATTTTATATGATTTTTAAGGAAAACATGCTGTTTCTTCTTCTGCGCTGACTATAATTTACACAGCAATATATTATAGCTATAGCATTCCTCTCATTTGAATTCTTATTCGGAACGTACCATGTGGTTTGATATCCGTCCAATTTCGTCAAGAATCCTGACTTTAGTCTGATCCTGAATGTCGGGTGGGAGTGGTCTGGTGATGATCACGTGTACTCTATAAGTCACGCCCACCACGAGCAGGGAACACATGAGCATACTATACCGTACCATTGTCTCCCTCGTTCGAGCAATCCCCAATCTAATCTTGTCCCTTTCAGATGTTTTCGGTGAACGAGATTAAAAACACAATTTTGCAATTAAAGATGATTACTTGTGTCATCTCTACATATTTGTATATGTACATCTCCTTAAATACCTAATACAAAGATTTTTTTTTTCAAATGTATTCTGTTCTGGTGAAAAGACGAATAAGATTTGGTACCGGTTGAAACTTGGAAACTTTGATAAAGATAAGTTTATAACTAGACACAGATACGTCTCTTCTAGATGGTGGGATATTCCGGACAATTAAAAATAAATCAGAAGTTTTCCGTTCAGAGTCGAGAACCTAACCTATCACAAACAAAGCCTGTCGATTTTTCAAATGGTGAACGCACACATTTTAAATTCCCTTACAAGGCGGCTTGTGTTGACTGGGAATATAGTGGTGTCAGTTCCACCATGTAAATTCATCTGTAAAGCATACCTCTCGATACTCAACAACTGATTTATTAATTATTTATGATTTTCCTATTCTAATTTATATCAAGATAATTAATAAATTAAAAAGTAATATTCTCTTCCGCCAGATGAAATAGAGAGAAACCTATCACAACATTTCATAATCGTGTTCTGTCATATCATACAGTGTAGCATCTATCCTTAAATATATTTCTTTCATTTCACATCAAATCAAAGAGGACAAATATTATTTTAAAGCATGATATTAATTTAAAGGAACGCGGTGATATGTTTTATATAGATCAACATGAAGAGTAATAATTGCTATGTTTTATCAAATAGTGATGTACCTCCTAACACGTACAGTAATGTACTGATGTAATATAAATCCTGACATAACCCCTAGAACGTACAATGATGTACTGATGTAATGTAAACACTGACATAACCCCTAACATGTACAATGATGAACTGATGTAATGTTAACATTGACATAACCCCTAACACGTACAATAATGTACTGATGTAATGTAAACCCTGACATAACCCCTAACACGTACAATAATGTACTGATGTAATGTAAACACTGACATAACCCCTAACACGTACAATGATATACTGATGTAACGTAAACCCTGACATAACCCCTAACACGTACAATAATGAACTGATGTAATATAAACATTGACATAACCCCTAACACGTACAATAATGTACTGATGTAATGTAAACACTGACATAACCCCTAACACGTACAATAATGTACTGATGTAATATAAACATTGACATAACCCCTAGCCCGTACAATAATGTATTGATGTAATATAAACACTGACATAACCCCTAACACGTACAATAATGTACTGATGTAATGTAAACACTGACATAACCCCTAACACGTACAATAATGTACTGATGTAACGTAAACCCTGACATAACCCCTAACACGTACAATAATGTACTGATGTAACGTAAACCCTGACATAACCCCTAACACGTACAATAATGAACTGATGTAATATAAACATTGACATAACCCCTAACACGTACAATAATGTACTGATGTAATGTAAACACTGACATAACCCCTAACACGTACAATAATGTACTGATGTAATATAAACATTGACATAACCCCTAGCCCGTACAATAATGTATTGATGTAATATAAACACTGACATAACCCCTAACACGTACAATAATGTACTGATGTAATGTAAACACTGACATAACCCCTAGCCCGTACAATAATGTATTGATGTAATATAAACACTGACATAACCCCTAACACGTACAATGATGTACTGATGTAATGTAAACTCTGACATATCCCCTAACACGTACCATGATGTACTGATGTAATGTAAACACTGACATAACCCCTAACATGTACAATAATGTACTGATGTAATGTAAACACTGACATAACCCCTAACATGTACAATAATGTACTGATGTAATGTAAACACTGACATAACCCCTAACACGTACAATAATGTACTGATGTAATGTAAACACTGACATAACCCCTAACATGTACAATAATGTACTGATGTAATGTAAACACTGACATAACCCCGTACAATGATATACTGATGTAATGTAAACACTGACATAACCCCTAACACGTACAATGATATACTGATGTAATATAAACCCTGACATAACCCCTAGAACGTACAATAATGTACTGATGTAATGTAAACACTGACATAACCCCTAGCACGTACAATAATGTACTGATGTAATGTAAACACTGACATAACCCCTAAAACGTACAATGATATACTGATGTAATGTAAACACTGACATAACCCCTAACACGTACAATGATATACTGATGTAATATAAACATTGACATAACCCCTAACACGTACAATAATATACTGATGTGATGTTAACATTGACATAACCCCTAGAACGTACAATGATATACTGATGTGATGTTAACATTGACATATCCCCTAGAACTTACAATAATGTACTGATGTAATGTAAACACTGACATAACCCCTAGAACTTACAATAATGTACTGATGTAATATAAACACTGACATAACCCCTAACACGTACAATGATGTACTGATGTAATGTAAACACTGACATAACCCCTAACACGTACAATAATGTACTGATGTAATATAAACATTGACATAACCCCTAACACGTACAATGATGTACTGATGTAATGTAAACACTGACATAACCCCTACTATGTACAATGATGTATTGATGTAATATAAACACTGACATAACCCCTAACACGTACAATGATGTATTGATGTAATATAAACCCTGACATAACCCCTAACACGTACAATAATGTACTGATGTAATATAAACCCTGACATAACCCCTAACACGTACAATAATGTACTGATGTAATGTAAACACTGACATAACCCCTAACACGTACAATAATGTACTGATGTAATATAAACCCTGACATAACCCCTAACACGTACAATGATGTATTGATGTAATGTAAACTCTGACATAACCCCTAACACGTACAATGATGTATTGATGTAATGTAAACTCTGACATAACCCCTAGAACGTACAATGATGTACTGATGTAATGTAAACACTGACATAACCCCTAACACGTACAATGATGTACTGATGTAATATAAACTCTGACATAACCCCTAACACGTACAATAATGTACTGATGTAATATAAACCCTGACATAACCCCTAACACGTACAATAATGTACTGATGTAATGTAAACTCTGACATAACCCCTAACACGTACAATGATGTACTGATGTAATATAAACTCTGACATAACCCCTAACACGTACAATAATGTACTGATGTAATATAAACCCTGACATAACCCCTAACACGTACAATGATGTATTGATGTAATATAAACCCTGACATAACCCCTAACACGTACAATAATGTACTGATGTAATATAAACATTGACATAACCCCTAACACGTACAATGATGTACTGATGTAATGTAAACACTGACATAACCCCTAGAACGTACAATGATGTACTGATGTAATGAAACACTGACATATCCTTGCATGTAACTACCTAGTATAAACATGAACATTACTTCATCCATTAAAATATAAATAATTTATTACAAATACTCACCACGTGTGTAACCTCCAGTATAAATAACCCGCCTGTGTCAGGGTATGATGTATTCTCCTAATCGCCAAGTACTGATAACTCCGTGATAATATGTTATCATGCATGATACGGGGAGTTAAGACTGAGTTTGTCGAGACACGTTATGGGGCAGTGTTTGATTATGATAAAAACTCGTTGATTTTTTAATAGGAACTAGCATCACCCTTTAACACAATTCTGATTACGTACTTACACAGCTGTTCAATTTATACCTACGTTCGAGGCGCAGTCTGGTAAACAACGTCTTGATACATGTATTAAATTGGTGCTTTGAACGTATATATTAACAAGCAGACCATGAAAAGAAAAAAAACTAAATCCCGAAATAACATTTTTTTCAAACTTATAGTATATCTTACATTAAAAATTAATTAGTATTACTAAAACGAAACAAAACATATCAATATTTTAACTATGGACAAATCCACTAACAATAGCAAAGCCAAGGATCGAATCCGGTCACATTACATAGTTACTAAGTATTATACATACATTGTACGATCTATGTGGTAAAGGACCATATTCATAATCAAAGCTGATATTCTTACAAGTTTTGTGCTGTATTTAAGAAAAATCTCCCCTTTCTTCCTTTCTTTCTTTCTTTCCTTCATTCATTCACTCTTTCTTTCTTTTATTTATTTATTCATTCTTTCCTTCCTTCCAGCCTTCAATCCTTCCTTTCTTTCTTTCATCCATTCACTCTTTCTTTCTTTTATTTATTTATTCATTCTTTCCTTCCAGCCTTCCTTCCTTCCTTCTCTCTTTTTCTTTTTTTTCTTTCATTTTTTTTCTTTCTTTCTTTTTTCCCCTTGTCTTTTTTTCTTTCAGTCATTCCTTCCTTCCTCCCTTCCTTTTTTCCTTCTTTCTTTCTTTCTTTAATTTCTTTTTTTTTATTTGGAATGGTCACTGTTTTCACAGATACGATAAAGAAGAAAATAACAACAGAGGTGTAGTTGCTTCTCCTATCTGGTCGATACCCTTTCGGGTGCCTATTGTCGCTTATAACTTTCACGTCTCAACTCCACTTGGCTACTAAAAAACGACTCAAAGGCAAATATCCAGTTTGCCGTCAGCTCGCCGCAAGGACGTAGAGCGGTGTGTCCAGCGTTTAATCAGCACATATATATATATGTACAATAATTTCATACTTAAGTGATTGCAACAAATGCGATGTACAATTAATAATTTGTTGAAAATCAGGTGGCGTAACAGCGCTGTATATCTCGATATATATGTATGAAAAAAAGAAACCACAGAGCACGCGATCACCGGAATTAGCTGGCACGCCCAGGAAAAACCGGATAATTACCCGGAAACCTGCGTCCAATGGCCAGGACCTGTTTCCATCCCCGCAAGACCGATCCCTCCCGGGATGACAACTGGACCGATCGTCA